AACAACATTGTTATTCATGAATATTATATGAAATGAGCATGAACCTGTATAGCTTATAAGCCACACAAAATTGATTTGTTGAGAGTTCACATTGTGTATGAACATTTCGTATCGTTGTCATGAATAGTCTAATATGTATATATATGACATTAATTAGTTTAAGATTATCATTTATGTTTTTCTAAAATGACATGAATAATACTAATTTTCATTAAAGAATTTCACATGATATGAGTATAAATATTTAATATTGTACAAAAGACGTCCGAAAATTTTAGATATACATGACTTGAATAATACTAATTTTCATTAAAGAATTTCGCATGACATGAGTATAAATATTTGATATTGTACAAAAGACGTCCGAAGATTTTAGAATAATCTCTTATGAACATTGTATGATACGAGTATGAATATATACTTAACAAACATTTTTTTAAACTAATATCGTAGTTTTAATTATTGTCATTAAACTCGAACATAAATGACATGAAAATAAGATGGACATTGGACATGAATATGTGAAAATTGAGATCTTGATTTTTAACATAAATATTAGTGTAGATTGAGATTTAATTTCAAACTTAGTTAAATATTGATTTGTTTGGATTTGAAAAGATGATTTGAGAGAGAAGTTAAATAATAAATTATTTTAATTAACTCTTTATTCCATAATTATATTGTATTAATTAGACTCATTGCACCAGGTATGGTGAAGCATGATTCACAGTATAAAAATTTCGATAAATGAGGTTTTATCATCATATCTAGCACCAATAAAATTTTTGTTAATCATCATCAAAATTAATGCGAGTAAAACGGCATTAATTGCAGCGTAAAACAACACTGATGAAGCATTTCAAGCATGCATGATATCATAAGAGATGAGCACTTTATTCTAATAATGAATATAATAAGTTTTGAATTGAAATGTAAAAAAATTCTAGCTACGTAATAATAGAAATACGTTGGTGTAGTAATCGAATTCTATTTTTATATATAGAAAAATATGAGGTGAAATATTTCATTTGATATTGCAAATTCTTGTCAACCACATTGGGGAAAAAAAAATGAAGATTGTTATGGTGGGAGGGTTTGGTAGGAAATTGAACCTAAAGATTGATAATTTCAATCTCGACCGGGGAGGGGGTGGTCAAAAAAAAAGGGAAAAGAAGAAGGAAGAAAATGTTACCCTCGATATGGAATTATACATTACTTAAAAGGAAATTTAAATTAATTTGCATTCAGATGTATATAGGGATTGAACTTCCACCAAATTAAATTAAATGATAATTATAATTATATCCTACTAGCTAGTAAGATATCAAACAAATCTAGGACGCATGCTTGTAGTTTAGGTTTGGGCAATACTTTGATGAGTCAATGCCTCGTCACGATTTATGTATTATTATTACCCCCTCCGTCCCAAAAAAATAATTCACATTGAGTTTTGTACTGTTTTTAGTATAAATTTGAAAACTCAATATGAACTATTTTTGTGGAACGGAAGTAGTATTTTGTTTTTGTTTCTTAACTAATGATCGCATTGTACTAGAAAATCCTATTAACCATTATCATGCAAAATGGCACAACGTGGTTAGAATGAAACAAATGAGATTTTTTTTAAAAAAAATATTAATCATCTATGTTATCATTAATATGTTACACTATGTTATAACAATTATTTACAAGATTTTACGCATTCTAAAAAAAAATAATTATTATTGATAATCAACTTATCCTCATCATTCACAACTAAATTATCGTTTTTCATGTTGATCCATTAAAACGTTCAAAAATTTAAAAATACCATACATAAAAAGTTGACTCCTAACCGAGATTCTTGAAAAATCTAGGATTATGCATTCTTGGAAATGTACATACGTAACCCTTAAAATTTCAACTTAAATAAATGAGTGCATATTAGATTATAGAAACAAAATAATTGTTGAGTTTTAATTCAGTTAAATAGCTATATAAACAAAATGGAAATGAATGAAATATAAAAGAAAAGAAAAGAAAGTGGGAGTGGCAGGGGGATTGTCGTCATGATATGTGGACCGTGGTCCTCTTCCGACACACATACTCTAGTGACCCTGTTACCTCCCTAGTTGTGGGCCCCAGAGGTATTTGTTTTTTAAGGTGTGGGTCCGAGCCAAGGAGGTAGCTTTGCGTAATTTGCACAGAAAAGTAAGGGTAAAAACTAGAAATGCTGGAATGGACGAAAGCTACCCTTTCTACCCTTTGCCAACAACAACCTCGTCTGACTACAATCTTCTGACCTTCTTCTTCCCACCATTTTGTTAAAAAGAAGGAAAAAAAAAAACAAATAAACAAAGTAAAAAAAAGCTGAAGTTGGACCAGAATTAATAGGAGACCAAATCCAAGATGAATTCCCCCTTCCAACTAGTACCATTTTATCTTTTTTTGTTTCTTCATTGAATTGCGTTAAGGAGATTTTGAACACCTCCAATTTGGTGCTATGATAATGGTTCTTATTTAGTCCTTCGTCTCGAAATTCAAACTCGATTATAATTTTGAGAGAGAAAGAAAGTATATTAGTTTACTTAAATTTTCATTTTCTAATATAATTTCCCGTATTTATCATTAAAGGATTCGAACATTGACTTATTGAAAACATGTTCAAACGTCTCATAACAACTCGACGCATGCTTTATGAGTGTCGTTTTAGTAGGTAATGATTACAGGAAAATAATAGAAAGAAATAATTTTCTTTTTGCGGCTTTGTGGTTAATTATTAATTTTTAGCTAGCTTTTTCTCTAATGTCAAAATAAGAGACACCAAAATCGAGTATATATTGAATTGAATTTCTGTATACGCAATTTTATATTTTTTGAATGAGAAAAATGTGGTGTTTGGTCATGGAAAATGAACGAAATGACATTCTTCTTACAAAATAGTAAACATTTAATTAAAGCCTCAAATTATATCTGTTCTTGCGCAGAAAAAGGGAGCTTTAAATAATAATGCGTGATTTACTTTTTTTTTTTCCCCGGGAAGGACAACGTACACCTGGAAATGGAATTGCATCTTTTTTTTTTTTTTTCATCTTTTACTAATACTTTCTTCTATCCTTATAATAACGCATTTTAATTTGTCCTAAATTTTTGTTAATACGTTCTTTCAATCAAAAATAAAATTTTAAAAATGTATTTTATAATAATAAAAAAAATACAATAACTGTAAAAAATATTTTTAAAATTTTATTTTTAATTAGAAGAATAGACTAAATGAAACTTAAGACAAATCATGATGTTTTATACTCTCTCTGTCCCAAAATTATTGTCCAGTTTAAGATTTCAATTTTAGTACAATTACTGGACAATAATTATGAGACGGGGGAATAATAAAGATCGAAATATTATACATATGTCAAATCACAGAATTCGAAGTTCATTTCCAGATTTTGCAGCAGCTTGGACCTTGGATGAAAATGTGCCACTGAGATTCATCATGGAAATTAACTTAATTTGTTCTCTTCCACCACTTTATGTTAATGAACATCGCTCTCTTGACTGCTACTTTCATAGTTCTTGGTTTGTTGTCTTATCACTAAATTAACATCATTTTCTTGATTGTAACTTATTGTATTGGTTTCCTATAATTTTACTTTTTATTTCTTGTTTGATATGCTAATATATACTTCCCTTACTACTAACATAGAATTACTGCCTTACTAGACAAAGCAGTTGCATTCACGAATATGGTTCGCTAAAAATGAATGTTCTTTTGCTTTAAAGATATCGATTTAGTGAACTTGACTTATAAGTATTCCCTTCATTTAAAATAAGTCTTATTAGTTTTGACAAAAGCTAAGTGTTATTAGACAAAACTTACATAATTTAAGGAATATTTAATTATAATATTACTAAATTATTCTTAAACTAACTCATTAAATTTAATAGGCGGCATTGATACTATTTACTTTCAGGGCCAATTGTTAGAAATTTTTAGGGATTACTAAAAATTTATTTTTAATTTTCTTTGTTCTGAATTTTACAAACTACATCATTCTAGTAGTTTTGTGTTTTAGACGGGAAAATATTGCATGAAAAGTTGCCATGTATTTTTAATGGCAAATGCTTTCGAGAGGTAAAAAGGAAAGTAAAGTGTAATTGGCTAACTCATGAAGTTTTGGTTAGTGGAAGGAAACCATTCATTCACGTATTTGAATTATGTCTCGAGTACGAAGTGCTTCCTCCATTCCAAAACAAGTGTCATTTTAGCAAAATAGAGAAATTTTAAAATAAGTATCGTTTTCGGATTTCAATGCATTTTTTGTCAAAAATTTCTAAACATACCCTCAAAAGAAATAACAGTATTGATGAACATTTATTTTAATGGGGTTAGTTGAGGATATTCTAGTAATTTAACTACCCTATTTAAGTGTTTCTTAAACTGTGTACAAACTCTAAAATGACACTTATTTTGGAATAAAAGGAATAGTTTTAAATCTTTTGGTCACTTATCGTATTCATAAAAATGTTTAATAAGAGGTTAGCGAAGGTTTAGCCAATTCAACTGAGCGAGGAGCTTAATAAAAATTCTTTAACTGGATTTCAAATCAGTAGGCACTTTGTTGTCTCGCATCTCCAAACCCAATAATGTACCATGATTTTAATCACATGAAAATAGAAGGCACATTATTGAACCAATACTCTCTTGGTTCTAAAATTATTGTTTATTTTGATATTTTACTTTTAGTATAATTTGAACTAAAAATAAAATTTCAAATTGAACAATAATTATGCGACGGAAGGAGTACATGTTTGGGCACAACATTAAATGTGACTTTTTTTTTTTTTTTGAGAAAACATTAAATGTGACTTCTAAAAGGGAAAGAATTTTGAAGTGAACCAATTCCAAGATTCTTGTACAGTCCCCAAGCAAGGACACATAAGAAAAAGAAAAAACCAAACAAACAAAAGTCTTGTAAAGAACTGAACCTCCCTCTTCCTGGAATTGAATAAGACTGTAAAAAGCAGACAAAACCTAACACCAAACAAAAAAACAAAAGAATAAAATATAAAAAATAAAAAACTTCCCTCATCATCAGTCATCACTCTGTGACTGTGGCAAAAGCACAATTCATCCTAACCTCAATGTCCCTTTCTGTAATCTAATCCTTCATTGATTAATCATACTCCATTTTCACACACACACACACACACACTACATCATTATCTCTCTCCCTCTTCTTTCTCTTCCCTACTCAGCACAAAACAAAAGAGCAGGCAAGAAACAGAGCCAGCCATTCACACATACACACAGACACACTGAGCAGAAGCAGTAACTCAGCTCATCTCATCTCAGGAGCAGCAGCAGCAGCACTGCCAACATTCCTCTTTCTCTTTCAAAGCGAACATATAGTCACACTGTGGAATTAAATTTACAATAGCCCAGATAAATCTTTTGCTCAAAATCCATCACAAAGTTCTGATCTTTGCCTGTTTCTAGTTTCTGAAAATTGTGGGTTTTGTTCATTTTGGGTGAGGTGAAAAAAAATGGAGAAAATGATGGTCATGGCAAGCTACTTACTCAAAGCCTGTGGAATAGTGTAGGTTTCAGTTAAGGGTGTTTGTTCTATTTGTGAGCTTGAGTTGGGCGGCTCCCATTTCTCTGCTTTTTATTTTTCTTTGCAAGAGGAAAAAGGAAGTAATTTTTCTTCCTTTTCTTCTCTGTTTCTGCGTCATTTCTCTCTTTTTAGAGAGAGCTTTCGTGGGTTCTCCTTTCTCTTCTCTTTTTCTTCGTCGTGAAAAGAATGGGCTGCAGGAGCATGCTATCAGGAAACTTGGATCCAGAGAGGAAGAGGAGTGGTGGATTAAGAACAAAACAAGCAGGAAGAGGTTCTTGCAGGGGAAGTTAGACCTTGAAATTCAACTCGCCGGAGAAACAAGAAAGATGACATCTTTCCGGCGCTGAAAAAAAAATTTGCTTTTGCTCTGTCTTTACGAAGTCTACTGTTCAATTTATCCATCTCTATATCTCTTTCAATCGATACTCAAAACACAAAGTTCATACATTTGATGCATACAAAAAATATGGGGTATTTGTTGAAGGAGGCTTTGAAGACTCTGTGTGGAGTCAATCAGTGGTCTTATGCAGTTTTCTGGAAGATCGGTTGTCAAAATCCAAAGTAAGTTAAATGGGTTGTCTTTATTCCACTTTGCTGTTTAGAGAAACAGAAAAATTTGTGTAGAAGAAATTACAAGTCGTATATTCTTCCCTGCAGTTGTTATTTTTATTAATTGGCACTTTTCTGTTCTTCAAATTTATGTAAAGACCAAAAGAAATCACAACTTATAGCTTTTAACTACTTCCTGGAAATTTTTGTTAAATATTGTTTGTGTGCTCCATAACTGGGCATGGAAACAGGGAAAGATTGGGACGAATTGTATGTCTTCATTTCTTTTTTGTCTTGGAGCTATGTTGTAGGTGAACTGCTGAGTCCTGACGGCATCTGTTTCATTTGTATTCAGTTTGATAGTTGCCTCGTGATTCCTGTTTGACCAGAGGGATGGATATGTGTGTCCTTTGCTTGTAAATTGTTTGTTTAATTCAGCTGGTAGTTGAAAATTGCTAAATTAATCACTGATTTTTTGAGATATTACTTGACCTGTGGAACATTGATTGGTATTTCTTGTCTTGTTTTTCACTTTGTATCTGGTAACTTTCGTTTTCTATCTTTGGAGTTTTCTTGTTGGTCCAGTCTGATTTGTCGTTGAGAATCTTAGAGGGGAATAAAGAATTTTAGCACTACTTGATTGAAACGCTTTCAACTGTTACGATTTCCTGTGTATGAACTGTATTATCTCAGCTTTTACATTCCTTGTTTGATTCATATGCTTTTCCCCCCCTCTGCTTTACACTTTTTTTGTTAAATTTTTGATGATGTTCTTTTTGCTTTGTTTCTTTGTATTTTGGAGTTCATTTTGTGTGAGCTGAAAATATGTGCCGGAGTTCATTTGACCTGTCAATTGCTCTAAATTTTTAATCACTGAGTTAGGGGTTGGCTATTTCCTTCAAAATAATCTGTACATTAATTAAAAGTTGTTCGATTATTTGCCAGACTTTTGATATGGGAGGAATGCTATTACGAGCCAGTGATACATAGTGGCCTATCTGGAATTTCTGGGGTTCAGAACCCAGAAATGGGTTTCGAAGATTTGATTTCACCTGAAGCATGTAATTCTCATGTTGGCGCCCGTGCAGGGAATGGACTCTGTTTACTTATGAACAAAATGATGATGAACAATCATATAAACGTGTTAGGAGAAGGGTAATCATTGTATTGACTAAGAGTTGATTTTGTACATGGGATGATTGAATTATACATTCATAACTCTGATGATGCACAATGGACTTGCAGACTAATTGGCCGTTCGGCATTTACTGGATCTCACGCGTGGATTCTTGCGGAGGGATATAGGAGAGATGCACATCCACCTGAGGTATACCATGAAAGGCTTTTCTGTTTTCTTTGGTTCAAAATCTTACACGAGTCCTATGCTATCTCTATTTGTCCTTGTTAAGTTTCTGAAAATTGAATTTATGCTTTAAGCACGACGGAACCTAACTCCGAGCTCGTACTGCTGCATTTACATAACATTAAGTTATTTGTTTTTTTCATTCAACAGGTTGTAAAAGAAGTTTGTCTACAATTTTCAGCTGGAATGCAGGTATGAGGCCTTCCACGTTTTCTGTTCCAGATGTCTTGAAAAAAGTATTCTGTTTAATTAACATTTTCTTCATTTGTCTTGAAGACAATTGCAGTTGTCCCTGTTCTTCCTCATGGTGTTGTTCAATTTGGATCATATGTACCGGTTAGTTATTCCTATGCCGACTTGACCATCACTTTCTGTTTGCTGGACACTTATTCGCACGTACACATGATATGTTATAGCTGGTTGACTTTTATTATCAAGCTTGTTGAATGTTGGTTTAAAAATTGCTATATTTGAGGGGATTCTTTGAATATGATGAAATAAAAACAGTTCCTTCAGTGTGCCTGTCTATAACTAACGTTGAGCAAAAGTAGAATAATGGTCCCAAAAAAACTCCTTTCATGCTTTTTAATCTTATTCATATAGCATTAATGTCCTGTACCACACTGAAAAATATATTAAATCTCTTAACCGTTATTGGTATTCTTATTCTTCTTAATTTTCAAGTCTCTTCAAGAGGTAACTGCCTAAAGTTTTTTCTTTTTTGTCCCAGATGATGGAGAATGTGGCTTTTATAAATGATGTGAAGTCCTTGGTTCTGCAATTAGGATGTGTCCCTGGTGTATTGCTCTCTGAAAGTTATGCTACAAGAGAACCCGTGCCAAGGGTTGGAGTACCAATCTGTCCTGGAAATCCTCTAAATGGAAACTACTTGGAGAGATCAGAGACTTATAACTCTACCCCTTTGATTTATAACCCCCGTGGTTACGACTGTAGCTTGTCTGAGGCTGTAACACGTGCTAGTCAAACTTCTTGCTCAGTTGGACAAATTCCAGATGTTGGTCTTTGTTCATCCTTGTTTCAATCCCGTGACTTGGGTGGAGGTTTGTTGGGATCCCATGATGCTCAGCCGAAACAAAGAACTGGTCTTTTAGCAAATTCACAGCAGTCTACTACTAGCCAACTGGCCCCTTTAACAGCAAAGGCTGAAGTGTTATCTTCAAATCCTGAAGTTTGGTTGAATAAGCAAAGTTCCTTGTGCACTTCAAGCTCACACTTCGATCAGAAATTACCTGTTGTCTCATCAATAATGAATGCTGTTGGCTTAAAATATGAACAGATCTCATCTGAAACTGGTTTCCAAGGGCATATGGATAACAGTTTCAATATATCCAGTGATATGGTTACAAATGCAGACCTAGTATCTACTGTAGATTCTGTTACACTCCACTCAGCTAACAGAATCAACATGCATGGTGATGTGAAGAGCAATTTACAGTCAGTTCCAAGTTTTATGTCACACTCAGAGGGAAACTTGATTTCCTGCAAAAATAATTCTAGCTCTCAAAGTAGGAATGAAACTCAGAATGCTAATTCGTCTAAGTCCGAGGTTTCCTGCTCTAAAGTGGTTGAACACTCCAGTGAAAGTAACTTGCTAACCAGCAGCTCTGTCACTGTGTATCCTTCTGCAGATAACAAGTTCATAGTTGCTGATTTTGATGATGTATATGGTGGACTAGAGCATGATTTGTATCAAGCACTTAGTGGTTCAATTTCCAAACCAGATGTAAGCAATTTAAGTGAAAGTGTTCCTGGTATAACTCCTAAAGATGAAAAGCCGGGATGTGGAATGCAGAATCTGTCACTTGGAGATGCTGTGAATGCAGGCCAACACTATACTGGAAATGACTTGTTTGACATTTTGGGGGTTGATTTTAGAAACAAATTGCTAAACAGTGAGTGGAATAGCTCTCAGATTAGCATGTCTGACTCAAGCATAACGTACCTTGATAAAACTAATTCCAAATCGTTCAAAGGTGCTGATGCTTCTAAAGATACATATGCTGTCAATCAAGAGAAGTCAGACAACAGTATATTCTCTGTGACAAGTGCCGACCATCTCTTAGAAGCTGTAATCTCTAAGGTTCAGCCATCTTTGTCTTGTAGGACCAGTTTGACAAATACCAGTAGTTTGTCCGCTCCTACTATGTCAAGCTCCAGCTCTGGATTTCCTGTCACTGGTCACCACCTTCAGGGGGATTTATATGCTTTTCCCAAATCTATTGGAAAACTTGGTGGTCTTGGCTCCTGTTCATTTACCTCTGGGCCTGGGAAGGATAACAAATCAAGTTACTCCAATAGTGGTTCCATTTGTGGATCACAGTTGAGTTCATGGATTGAACAACAAGATGTGAAGCCGAGTAGTAGTGTCTCTACTGCATATTCGAAGAAAACTGATGAAATGAGCAAGACAAAGAAAAGGCTTAAACCGGGAGAAAATCCTCGTCCCAGGCCAAAAGATCGTCAAATGATCCAAGATCGTGTCAAAGAATTACGGGAAATTGTGCCTAATGGGGCAAAGGTGATCTCTTTAACTCTTCAAGCTAGCATTTTTTATTATTTGTTTTTCCCATTGACATTTATCTTTCTTTCTAAACTGATAGAATTGTTTGACATTTGTTTTATGCCAACAGTGTAGCATAGATGCTCTTCTAGAACGCACAATAAAGCATATGTTATTCTTGCAAAGTGTCACCAAACATGCAGACAAGTTGAAGCAAACTGGTGATACAAAGGTGCTACTCTGCTTGTTCTTAGATATGTTTGAACATATATTCTACTCATGATGATCAGTTCCGAATTGTCAAATTGAGAGCTGCTAGACTAGGACGTGACGCACTGATTTTATGTCAGCATAGAAGCTTAAGCACTGGATTATTGATTGATGCTGAATGTGAAATTTATAAACTTGCAGATAATTAGTAAAGAAGGTGGGCTGCTTATCAAAGATAACTATGATGGTGGAGCTACTTGGGCATATGAAGTTGGTTCACAATCTATGGTTTGCCCTATTATAGTTGAGGATCTCAATCAACCTCGTCAGATGCTTGTGGAGGTAGTTTCATCTGTTACTAGTAAATTCTTTCATGTTCACCCTCTTTTCTGTTTGATAAGTATCTTATGATCATAAAATATTTCGTTTAGGTTCGTCCATTTAAACTTTGTTTACATTTGTCGCAGATGCTTTGTGAAGAAAGGGGTTTGTTTTTGGAGATAGCTGACATTATTAGAGGACTGGGATTAACAATCTTGAAGGGGGTTATGGAAACTCGTAATGACAAGATCTGGGCACGCTTTGCTGTAGAGGTAATATTCATCATGGATGTAAACGTCTGTGTTAAATCTGGGTCACATGTGATTCTAATTGATTATAAAGCTTGAGATAATGTCTCTGATTCTAGATTGCACACTTCTTGGTTTTTACTATTATGATGAAATGTTGATTAAAAGGATTCATTATCGGCACCCAATCTGAGTTGTTTGACTTTCCATTTCTATCCTTTCACTACTATTTTCTTTGGGTGGGATGTTAGGTAATTACATTTGTCATGCCATGATATGTTCCTGGAATTATAGGAAGTTTGGCTTCTGTGCTTGTTATACAGCTTCTCAAAACAAACCTCTAACTTGGAAACTGATGCAGGCTAACCGTGATGTGACAAGAATGGAAATTTTCATTTCACTCGTTCGCCTCCTGGAGCAAACTGCCAAAAATGGTGTCCCGCCTGGCAACTGCGTCGAGAATGACACGATGATGGCTCATCAATTTCAACCAGCTACATCAATACCGGCATCTGGTAGGCCGTGCGATCTGTAGTGGCGCATCTTCAGTGGTAGGTTGGGTCTGGATATGTTGAGAGCGAGTGTGCTGTACACTTGCTGTGACTAACATTTAGTCCAGAGAATTTCAAAGTTCCAAACACTGACTAAATAACTTAGTCCATGGACATCAATTTGGAAATGCAACGTTTTGATGAATTGTATGTAATGCTTTCTGGCCTGTTCATGGGTATTTGAGGTGAAAGAAGATGGGAAGTAGTTCAGAATGATCACACTATTATTGTGGCACAAGGGTTCAGGCTAGTTCTCTCTACATTGTGCTTTTTTAATTGCTTCTGTATAGGAGAGATGGGAATCGGGATATATATAGAAGGGGGCCTGTTTTCTCCATTATCAAACATTTGGTTTTTGTAGTTAATTAATTTATCTGTTTTTAGTTAGACGACTTACTAGTATAGCAATTAATTTTCTCTGTTTTACTAGAAAATTTTAGACCTTTCTTGTGGTATACTCGTTCCAAAATGACTGTCTTGTTTGGAATTTCATTTTGGGATAAAAAGAATTGTTGCGACAAGAGAAAATTCCAGCGGAAAGTTGTTTTTAAAGCTATGCCCAAAAATTAGAGAAGATCAACTCTGACAATCGTCATGGAGGAAGAAAAATTAGAGAAGATCAAATCGGAAATCTATACAACAAGTATAATATTTGGATTGTGTTTGATCCATAGAAGCGAGGTCTAATGTGAAGCAATTACATCTTTCATGAAACAGTCAAATGAGAAGCTGTTGTAGATTTAGTACTCCCGTCATCCCAGTGAAAAGGTCCGATTTGTTGAACTTTCGGCTTCTATTTTGGAACGGAAGGAGTAAATGGAAACCAGGACTAGGATTTCTGATGAAGATCCAGCTTTTATAATGAGAAACAAAACAAAAATTTTAATCAGCTCTTCTTACACATTTGATGACGAAGAGGAAGATGTTTGAAGAAAACAGCTTTGCAACTGAGAATTAAACCTGCCATCTCTAATCTGCAGGGAAGTTTTGGAAGATCAGAAAAACTGACCTAATCTATGATCCCATTCCATGCACATCTGAGGGTTTTCCATCGCATAGCAAAAAGGCCAGAGCTTTTGTTAAAGGTTATAGGTTTAGACAATATGGCGAAGTCGTCTATTACTCCCTCCATCGCAGAAAAAAGTCCATATTGAGTTTCAAATTTGTACAAAAAACAGTACAAAACTCACAAATCAAAGTAGATTATTTTTTTTGGGACGGAGGTAGTACAATATTTTAGAAAGAAATTACACATTGCAACACTTTTACAAAAGCAAATAAATGCAATGTTGTCATGCTCGGTTCAGACCGGCCGGTTGAACCGGTTAAACCAGGAACTGGACCTTAAACCGAGCCGAGCAAGGCATTAAACCGCAAAAAACACTCGGTCAAACTCGGTCAGAATTCCGGGCAGACCGGAAACCGGATTAAACCGGATTGGACTGGGGTTCCAAATTGTTTTGATTTTTGACCAAACTTTTTCACTGTTCCCTAGGATTTCAAGTTCCAACATCTTATTTCCAAAGCCAACTTTTCCTATTTTATACTAATTGACCCCAAAACTTTCAGTAGTTAATTTATTCAAAGTATTAATTTGATATTTTAGTCCTCATATTTAATTTCCAATTCCTAAATGCATTATTTTGAATTTTCTTTGCCTTTTTTTTTTTGTTTGCTTCACAAACTAACTTTGATCATTAAGGAAAATATATATTATAATCCTAACATGTCTAAGAAATTAATCTCAAAAGGTTTTGTTTTTTTACATTTGTATTAATTATCCTTTATATTCAATAATTTTTAAAATAGTAATTTTTTCCTTAATTACTTTATTAATATATCATTTCACACCATTAAAATAATAATTAAATGCTACAATATCAATTCAACTATTATAATAGAAAAGAGATATAAAGGGTAATTTTTTTAGATTTAAATATATGAGATAACTAAATAATATTTATTTAGTAATAATGGTATCATTCTAGTCAACCACTTGAGTTCAATTTTGTCACATCAATATCGAATTAAGAATTATGAAATATCAATTTAATCCTAACAATTGATAAATATATACATAAAATGGGTAAAATTCTAATTAATATATATTTATTAATTATTTAATATTTATTATGTCATTATGACGTCATCCGAGTCGACGCCCCATCCTATTGACCCTTTTGCCATGCCAAGTCGACCTCCGGTCTGAGCCTGACAACACTGAATAAATGTACTACGTATCATCTCCATTCCAATAGCTAATGCAGCAGAATAGCACACTGCTCGGGGGGCGCCTTTTTTTCAGCTTCATCAAGGGACAGTTTTTGTATCCTGATTCAAGTCCAAATCTGCATTATGCCATTACATCAACAGTCATCTTGAAGCTTTCGCCATTTTTTGTTGGCGTTCTTGAGAGAAGAAGTATTGTTCTTTGTAATCATAATAAGGAGCCGCCTTTGATTAGGTGGACTAGATAACACATGGATTCAAAGAATTTGCACCAAAACAATTGAAAGAAATCCATTTCAGGCCCCAGCGTATTCGGGCTTGGGAATTGGGATCATCTCAATGTGGCCCAAGGGTTTTCGGGTGTGGAGCATCTTCCTTTGGAAGTCGGAAAAAAATGAAAATGTATATCTGTTGACATGAAAACTCAAAAAATATAAACCAAAAACATTCAAAATAAAAAATACTCCCCCGTTCCAAAATAAGTGTCATTCTAGAGTTTGCATACAGTTTAAGAAATTATTGAATATGGTAGTTAAATTACTAGAATATCCTCAACTAACCCCATTAAAATAAATGTTTACCAATAATATTATTACTTTTGAGGGTCAAAAAAATGTATTGGAATCCGAAAACGACACTTATTTTGGAAATTTTTTATTTTACTAAAAAGACACTTATTTTGGAACGAAGGGAGTAAAATTAAAGATTTTAAAAGTTTTAACTACGTATTAACTGCCATACTAAGAAGTTAGAAATAACCTCGCCTTGAGGTGTATGTACCTTTAATCTAAATACTTAAATATAAGTCTATTCGACAAAGATATTAAGTGTTGAATTGAGCATTAATTGAAATCTCATCCGTCGGTTAAGTTTGATCCTATGGTTCAATTTGATTTAACTTAAGTGGAGATATATTTGTAAATTCAAAAAACTGTTTCGCATTAAATTAAAAACTTCGAACACAATTAAAAAAAACCCCTGTTACTTCCGGTTTAAGCCTAAAAAACCCCAGCCCCTTTCGTCGTTTTGAGGATAGGAAAAGCTTTAAACGAAATTAACCCTCAAAACGACGTCGTTTTGAGGGTTGGAAAAAAAATTAAAAACAAACTTTAAGAAGCCCTCCCCCTCTTCCTCTTTGTCGGCCCCTTTTTCTTTTTCCCTTCAACTTGCAAAAACAAAAAAAAATCTTTTCTGTTCGGTATTCTGTCTTTTTTTTTTTTAATTTATCTGAATGATCTTTGTTTTTAATTAATAATAATAAGAACTCACAGACGGATTTACGGGACCATGGCCCCCACTGGTCCTACCCTTAACGTTGTATAACTTTACCCATTAATTTTATTATAATGATGTTTTTCACCCTAAATTATCAATCCTTAGATTTTTTGGTTAATTCTTAGTGATGTACTTTAAATTTACCAATTTTTAATATTCTTTTATGCGAGATTTTTCTATTATTTTGAGTACAAATATACTATTTATATGATTTTATCTTTATTTGTAGGAATTGTACTCAAAAGGAGGAATTGTTAAAATTGTAGGCTAAAATGAAGATAAAAGCAACTCAAAGGGAGAATTGAAGATTTGATAAATTGACAAGAAAAAAATTGAAGCACTTGAAAAATTAGAGGATTAAACAAGCAAGTTTAGAATTCTTGTTTATGGAAATTGCCGAGAGCTTAAGGTTGTGCGCCTGATTTGGGATTGGAATTGGTTAAGAATTTTAATCCCAATATTATTTGGGAAACAAGTTTTCTTCCTCTCCAAAAAGTAGGATTTGACGCAAGCCTATAAAATGAGGATTAAAGATTTATTTTTACAATAGAACTGGACCGAAATCTCATCGAAACCCTCACGGCTGAAAATTCTCCACTGCCGATCTCCTCGCTTCCTGCCGCTGCAACATCCCCCGCCGACCTCCACCTAGCTTCCATAAACACCACCTTGCCTCCCTGCTCACCTCACGCCGACCACAAGCTTCACACCTTGTTTCCTCTTCATCATCCACGCACCACCAGCCTCCACTCTCCATCACCGAAGCCTCCTTCAGCCCACCGCCAAGACCACACAACCACCCTCACATCAAAACAGCCCCCCTCTGCCGCTGCAAAACTCTCCTCCGCCGCTCCACCTTCACCTCACGCAGACCACCACCTTCATCACCTTAATCATCATCGTTATCACACACCATCTTTCCTTCACCGCACCACCCTCACATCAAAACAGCCTCTCCTCTCTGCCAAACAGCAACCTCTCCTCCATCTCTCCCTCTAATCATCATCATCACCCATTTCATCAACCTTGACCTCATCCACGCAGCCCCAACCGAAGCAAGCAGCAACCGGGGGCTCTTCGGCGGTTCTTGTCTTCATCCAGATGTTTTTGTTTTAATTATTTAATTTAGATTTGTTTGGATTATGTCTCTAAATATTATTGGATTATTTTTGATAATGTTTAGTAGCTAAATTCTTTTAACCTAGGGCTTGGGTCTAGCCACCGAATTTATTTGATTTATTATTATTTGATTTTTTCATTGATCAATATTTAATATTCTTACTTTTATCCATGTTTGTAATTGGCCACTACTTACATGTTCAAAGATATTAATTGATGGAACGACAGTTAAAAATTAATATTAGTTCATGGGAATATTGGGCTTAGGTGGTGAACCACGACAGTAGGAACATAACCTTTGCAACGTTAGATTCTTAAGTTCTTAATGTGCTCTAGTTATTTCCTATAGTCACGACAGTAGTCATAGGATTAATTAGAGTAAGAGAATTATATCACGACGGTAAATAGTTCTTAATTAGGTGAATCGTTGTGAGATTAATGGAAGTTAAAAGTCAGATATTTATGAATTGAACCAAACCAAATATTCGATAGGTGAACCTAATGTCGTCTTTGTCTGATTATTTGAATTAATATTATTTTCCTTTATTTTATTTATTTATTTTAGTTTTAAATTTTATAAATTCGAGATCATCATTTATCTAGATAATAATATGAGTAATTTATACCTGGTAATTAGTATTCCTTCTCTGTGGGTATGACCCTATTTTTCGCTATATGAGTGTTAAGTAGGTAAATTTATTTGACTAGTTGTGACGGCGGCTTGTCAAATTTGGCGCCGTTGCTGGGGAAGGCAGGTAATATCTAACTTAAATTATTTTCTTTTATTAGTTTACATTTGTTTTTATCTTTATTTTATTTTATTGCTATCCTGGTTGGTTTTATTTTTGTCTGGTTTTTATATGTGAAATGCTAATCCCGAGACTTTGCAATTTGATCCAGAAATTGAGAGAACAGCTCGTGCAAATAGAAAAGAAGCAAGGCTAAGAAAAGAGAAGAATCAAAGTGAAACCATGGGC